TAGGTACGCTTCGCAACAAGACGAATGCACTTGAATTTTTAATAGGATTATATAAAAAAAAAAAAAAAAGGTGGGGAGAAGAATAATGGAGAATTTTCGAATTATTCGTCATAAAATTGAAGCACGTGGTGACTCATACGAATTTACTTATGTAGGACATTAACAAATGAATGATTAAACGGTCGTTTTTCTTTAAAAAAAAAAAAAAGCTGGTACTGTACGTGTGGATAATATAGAAATAAAAAAATAAAGAAAGAAATGTCTCGAATTAAAAATAAAAGGCAATTAACAGCCTTTATGAATGAAATCGATGACGTCAGATATTATCCCATTTATCCGTGTTATTTATCGTAATTGATGGAATAACCGCTTCGAGTGGTACGTGTAAAAATCCTTTTAAAAAAATGTTTATAAGAACTTGTGACGTCAACGGAGTGTCACCAACTCATCGCGGCCAAAGGCGGTTCATTAAGTTTTGGAAGACCCAATGTGGTTCCTGCCAATGCGCATGTCGCGTTCTAAATTTATCGTCTTATGTCTCGTGGTAGGTGTCCGTTTGTCGTCTTATGTGTCAAAGGGTTACTAATGTCTTCCATTTTACTACATTTCGAGGTAAGTCGATTTAACTGTAGTCTTTACCGATCTCTTTCTATTTTTACGCTCTTTTTTCTGTCACCGCCAACGAATCACGTGCTTTGTTATAACTTTTTTTTAAACGCAAACGTGATGCCGTCATTTACACTCGATGGGCTTCTATATAGGAAACTGCGACAGTTGTGTGTGTGTTCGTGATGTCATTCTTAATTATGTTTGAATGTCGGCCCGATTTTACCCAATTCGATTAGTTTTACCAAACGGTGATTGAATTATTATGCGAGTTTTACTGTGGAGAGTCCGACTTATCCCGATAAAAATCCCTATAGGACGATCGGATGTGATTACTTTTCTACGTAGTAATAACATTTGTTACGTCCTTGGAAGATTTGTTTCCTGTTTGATACATATTTCGGCATCTATATTAAACGTTAAAGTTTTAAAAGCGGTAGTTATATTGATAACAGTTATGGAATAGATAAAAATTCGCCGATACTTGACCCAGTTTTTTCGGAGATTCTTTGCGTTTTATATAACCTAACGTATCATAACTTTCGAATTTATCTTTTAAATCACGTATTAAAAAGTGTAGAATTTTATTTTATAACTTATCAGTAATCGGTTAAGTAAATATTTTTAATTAATTTAAATAAAATATATGGCTTATGGCGAATGCGAAAGTGAAAGTATGAAGATTAAGATCGGAAATATTTTTATAATATCAAATTTCGGTGTGAAAAATGTAACTTTTTACAGTAGCACGGTAATAAAGAAGTTAACTGCTTTATTAGTATAAACATTAGCTCTATATATCAATCATTTAACAACCGAAACTACAAAAGAACGGGCCTGGCTATATTAATTAATGAGCTTCGCAAAATGGGCGTTAATAATTTAATGTTGTAATAAATACGCACTGTACGCACGATTTTTAGAATACAGTCGACCCTCTATAACGCTGTTGATAATTCCGCTTTATATGAATTCCGTGTTGTACGAGTCACTTAAATTTTACAAATACGTGAGCCGTTCACAGCCCGGCACACGTATTTATAAAATCTAAGTGACTCGTACAACACGGAATTCATATAAAACGGAATTATCAACAGTGTTATAGGGGGTCGACTGTAATTAATTCCAATTGGCTAGTTAATATTCTATACTCATATGCACTTCGTAACATTACTGGATGTACTAGTTCTTTTGAAACTTACGGTAATTATCATTCGATCTTGAATAAAATCTATATATATTTTTTTTTATTGATGCTCTAATAGATTTTTAATAATTACTTCCCGCAAAACTATGTTAACCTTTGGTATTTTAATATTAAAATATTTCGAGCAAACGTAATTAAAATCGCCCCTTCTTAAGATCCGATAATGATAAGTATCCTAAACTGGAAATCAATACTGTGTTAACCTATATAAATAATTTTTTTTTAATGTATTTCTGTCAGTTGCGGATTTAAAAACTTGACACGCTGATCTTAATTTTCTTTCTTTTGCGTCAGGATTTTTCCTCTTCAAAAACGTAATTAGATCCGGTTAATGATCAGTAATTGCATATTTATTTCTAATAATCTTGAATCTTTTTGTAAGTAAATGTACAACACGACGTTTATTTTTAGAATGTAAAAAGCATCTTGAAGCATTAAAGATAGATTTTTCTCATTTTATTTATGATTATGTTGCTTTGTTACAGATTTTTTGAATTGTCTTCTCAACCTCTGGTTCCTATCCCAACGCGTCGATGCTGCTATCGGAAGAATGGACGCTTTATCATCCACGAAAAGCGAGAATGTTCATCTGGTGTCGTTCTCGACCAACTGTGATCAAACATCTTCCAAAAAAACACTCGTACCTCTAACGATAACTGTCAATGGTAGGATATCTCCGTGGCTACCCGAAATTCCTCCTAACAACGAGAAAAATGTCAAATTGGTCGGCTTCTCACTCAATAATAGTTTGAAGAGAGATGCTAGAAGTATGGATGATAAAAAAGCCAAATTAGAAGAAGAAAGGCGTGAAAGAATCGCCAAGTTAATGCAAGAGACTCAAGAATGGTTCTCTCAAATGCGTCAAGAGAATCAGAAGTGGAGGAGGGGAGTCAGCGATTCCAGTCCCATAGATGCTACTAGACTACTGAAAGAAGCTCAAGATAGATTTTCGGCCGGAGACGACGATTTATTTACCAAATTCGTTCGCGAAAACCAGGAGAGATTCGCCGAATTATTGGAAGAAAATGGTCACATTTTTACAAATTTTCCTCGACCCTCCAGCATGTACTTTTATCCGGGAAAGAGTGGCAGGGATTCAGGTAATAGTTTCGACACGTCGGAACTAACCCAGAACGAAGTACGAACTCTGAACTGTACCCAAAGTTTCAGCACGCGCCAATCTTCGTATAGTCATAACGTGCAAAATATTTTTAACCACGGAATGCCGACAGTCAAAGGCTGCAAAACTAACACCTTCGATGACAGTTGTGCCAAAATGGATCACAACGATTCTCCCGATATTAATTTATCGTCACCTACCAAGGTACAATTTAGGAGTAATAAATCGCAAGGTGCTTATCACATGACTTCCTCTAGAAGTGTGTTTGAATATTGTGGAAGGACTAACACATACAGGTAAGTCTCTTTCAATTACTTATGTTTTATAAACATATGCTAAGATGCTATTAAAACCTTTACATGGGGTAAAAGAACACAAATTTAATATTAGTCAATGATGACAAAGTTGTAAAATAAATCAATTTCCCCATTGTTATTAAATAAATCAATTTCCCATTGTTCTGTAACAATATTGATGAAACAATCTTGCAATTTGGATAGAAAAAAATTAATACAACTATTGAATGTTTTGAAATTTAATTAAAGTGCACTTTAAAATATGTTACTTTAAGTTTAACTTTTATCTATCTGGAGAAGTGTTTTTAGTTTAGCAGACTATAGCAAATTTTGTAGCTGTTCTAGCAAATTTTAGAAAATCTCTTTCAATTTGAGATCAAGCAGACATGTATTAATAAAGAATTTCTTTAGAATTCTTGTGTATTTGAAAATAAGAGTTAAATTCTTTCTTTCATAACTATTAGCGATTGAATAACAGAATTGTCAGTTTGAAGGTATGTTTACGCTGGTGTCTAAAATTAAAGTCCGAAAGATATTTTTGAAGATAATTTTCTACTTCCTGTTAGGTAATTTAATGCTAACTAAATATTCAAAAACTTTGATAATCCCAGTGAATAATTTGATGTAAATTTGACAAACTATTTTGACCAATATTTGTTGAATTTACATTAAATTATTTACTGGAATTATCAAAATTTTGAGTACTTTCTTATAGTTATTGATCCAGTTATGTGAACAAGTAAATTTCAAGTAGAATATGCTGTATGCAAAGATCATAAAGATAATATATATTTTATTACAACAAAAAACTGTATACAGTTTTCATATACTGGGTCATATCTTCAGAACTTTCAAATTTGAGGTTTGATATTTTAATATAAAATCATTTCATGCCGACTATGTTGATCTCTTATTGGATATATGACTGGTAACAGCAAGACATACCCTTAACCACATCATTTATAATCTGTTAGTTTAAGGAATCCCATTCCTCGATGAGGACCATTCTTAATTTATGAAGCATTCTGAGTGAGGATGATAAATTGCAACATGCTTTACCAGTTAGTCCCAAGCTCTATTGACCAGTCTATCCTACAAATATCTTTGTTTTCTAGGAGCTTGTTAACAACTTAAACCTTGAGAGATTGAACATTATTGTCCATTACAAGAAAATGAGGGTCTACAGCTTCCTCAGAAAGCCTGATATAGAACAACAAGATCTGTACAGCATTCATATTGCCTCTTGAATGCATAGAGGGGCGTACAGCCATTTACCATAATGCCATATTATGGTGACTAGAATCAGCCTGTAAACAGAATCTTGACTAATCTTTAATTAATTAAAGAGAACACAGATTCAGTCATCTTGACCAGTGGTGTAGCAAACATAACTGGCGCCCGGGGAACGACACTTTATTGGCACTCCCTTCCAGAAACACATATAGTTTGTCTTGGAGACCATTTGGGCACCTCTCTGCGAGTGATGCCCGGTGCATGATACATCCCCTTGCCACGCCACTGATCTTGACTGCAAGAATGATAATGTCTACTAAAATTCAAACAATCTTTACTGTGAGAGGAGGTATACAAATCACAGATCTCTTGCCATAAAGGCCAGCATTATAAAGCCTACAATATATGATTTGCCATGATGCATTTATTCATTACAAGTATAATGTAAGTTTCTTAGAGAAGTGTTTTATGATTAAAGCTAAATAATGGCCTTCACTTGGCATTGTGCTCCTTAGACAACCTTGGCCAGGTCTTTTTGAATGACCACCCGACTCATTTAACTGCAGCCGTGAAACTATTCTAGGATGGATATTAAATTTCCTTGTGGTTTGGGCTTCAGATTGTTCAGCTTCAAGTCGTTCTATAGTTTTCCATTAAATTGAGTTGTGCGCTCATGTGTAAAGCATAGAGCATATTTGCATGCAATGGAAAATTTCTTGCATTCTCAGGAATGCTCATCACATTGACCAGGTTTATGTAGACAACTTAACTTGCTATTTGTTGATTTTTGCTTTTCGATATGTCTCTCAAGTGAATTTGGATATGCAATACAAATATTATATTTTATTCAGTAGTTTTCATGAAATACAAAAATTATAATTCAGACTTTAATTTTGGATATCAATATATTTGAAATCTAAAAATATAGGTATGAATTATCATCTACAAAAAATCTGCTTCTTTGCTAATAGTTATATATTTTAAAAACAGATTAAAATTAAATACAGTAGTAAGATTATAACAAAGAATACAAAAAATGGCAAATTGTGAAGACATTTTTTGTATTCATTATAATTTTACTACATAGATTACCATCAGCCATTTTTAATAAGATTCAATTATTTTTTCAAATCAAACTATGTAACTTTTTATTTATTTAATTAAACTCTTACACAAGCAAAAAAAATAATTGGTTGTAGTTTTTCAATTACAATCATTTCACCCAATTAAAATTTTAAAAAATTTTATTATTAAATAGCATACATAAATTTATAAAATAAATAAAGAAGACTTTTTTAAAGTTGTAATTCGGTACTAATAAATTTCTAGACACCGATAGAAACATTTACTTTTTATCCTGGTCTATAGAAAGCTCAAGGTTAACATGTGTTGAAGTTTCTGTAAACTTGTTTCATTATTACTTTCATAATCTTTGTTATCGTATAATTATGTAATTCAATTTTTTGTTTTTTTTTTTTATTAGAATTAGCCGAATATCCAAAACTTAGCGTAACTTATTTTAAAAATTTTAAATTGAATTAAATTATTAATATATTTTGCATGACGTTTACTTTTTAGAATTATAATTATAATCATTATTAGAACAATAAATGAAACAATAAATTTATATTAAATCTAGTTGATTATCTATTCATTCAAACATATGTTTATTCTAAAAGTAACTATGATTGCATTTGCAACAACTTTGCCAAGTAAATGTACTTTTGCTGTTTTTGAATCGATTCCAATATTTTAAGCATTTTTCTTTCCAATTATAAGATTAAGTTTATTAAAAGTGTATTATATAAGTTTTATTCAGTCCATAAATAAGTTAAAAGTAAGAAAATTAAATGAAATTTCATTACGAATATAATGTATGTCTTCGTAATTTAAGAAATGTTTCTTAAGCTTTTAATATTACAATTTCGGACATTATAACTTTCACAAATATTATGACATATATTTAAATATATATATAAATAATTTAATCTTTAGAAAGCATTTAATTTGAAAATTTTTAGGTTTACTTTAAAAATATCATTTAAATAATTCAGATCTTAATTCTGTTGAACTTAAGAAATATTTATATTAAATTCAGAGAATACTGTCTTGACGATATTTATATTAAATGTAACAAAAAAGCACTTGACTACATGTCTTATGGTTAAGATGTTTTGAGTCAAATACTTTCGTTAGATAAAATTAGATAAATTTTTAGATTATAATGTTTGCGAAAGTATATTTTTAGTAAAACCTGAAGATTGTAGAGTTAAACATTTTATGAGATATTGATGTTTAAAGTATATATTTTCTATAATTTTTATATAAACTCTAAAAATATTTAAATATCTTACAAAAAAACTAACATTAAACTTTTAATTGAAAACATATGGTATTATCTAGTTATAAAGTTTATAACTTTATAAAGAAATTGTTTACTAAAAATATTTGAAATTATAATTTAAAATGTTATTGATTGAGATAATGAATTTCATTATAGTTGACAACAAATTAAGAGAAGGGAGATTTAATTTGCTGAAAAATGAGTTATTTTCTCTGTATTAAAAGTGAAATAGAGTAAGAAAATCAATTGATGTTTCGGCTATAAACACAGGAAAGTACATCGTAAAACACTATACATTAAAGAGAAAACATGCAAATAATTTTATTCAATCACTGACTAAGCTTTTATTGATTGTAGAAATGCTTTTATTTTGTTAATTAAAGACACCATAAAAGATAAACGTTCATTCAAAATATTACATTAATTGTGTAGATGACTAATATTCTCTAAACATTCATTTACCACATAAATTCCTTTTTATTTTAGCTTTTTGTATTTAAGTTATCTGAAATAAAATCTAAAAAGAAGCTATTTTTCAAACCTTATAAGTTTTTTCAATTGCTTTCTATCCTAAATTATTTGCTATCATCAGTCTTCAAAGATTAAAAATAAGCATTTTTAATCCTTTAAGTACTATATTCTTATTCAATTTATCATAACTACATACATTGTTTATTTTAAACATGCTTATATTTGATAAAATATAATACTAGGAAGTATTCAAAGGCATTTTAAAGTAATCTCATTTTTATTTATATTGTATAATACATTAAATCATTCTAATCATAGAAAATTAAGATTGATGAATGTTAATTTACAAGACTGAATTCTTAATTTAATTTTTTCTGAAAAGAATAACTTTTTTCATTATGAAAAAAAAAAAAAAATGAATATTTCTTTAAGTATTTTAATAATGATTCCTATTGATTGACTCTAATATTCCTAACCTAGTTGCAATATCAGTAGTGATAATCATGCAAAATGAATTGATCAAATATATTAATCTAATTTTTCATTCATTGTTTATCATATATAATTATTACTATTAATTATTCTGATATATAACATGAATTCATTACTATTTAATAAAGTTTTTATATTTAATAATTCAGATTCAGTTCAGTCAGAACTTATTCGAACATGATTCAAATCATGTTTTACAAGTTGTCATATTGTGACATAATTACCATCGATCACTTTATTGCAGTAAAAAATTTTAATTTATTAGAACTACATAAAAATACTGTAATACATTACAACTACACAGTAATAAAAAGTTGTTGGTATTATATTTACATAAACAGAATTAGATATTGAATAAATAGAATTTTTTTTTGAGAGAAATATTTATCTGACAAAGACCATCTGTATAAATCAAGATCTTTCTTTCCATTTTTTCTCTCTATATATTTTAGTTTGTCTTTGTGTTTTAATTTGCAAAATCAGAATCAAAAATTTATTCAATAATCTTCGTATCCTTATAAAACATCAATACCGTATTTACTCGCATATGAGGTTTTTATTAATTTATCACAGTTTCAAATTCCTAGGTTGTCCTAGACATATGAGCGAAAGATTTTTTACGTTTTTGCAAATAATTTTTGTGAATCGTGTATTCACATTTTTTACCGGATGCTCACTCTCTTATATTTAAAAACATAAGTATTTTATCTGGGTCGTTTGAATCGAATCATTCTTGTATATTGTCGGAGTAAAGATGAATAGCAATACGAAAAGCAAAGCTTTTGAATTGAATTCCAGATTGAAATTCCAAGATCATACAAGAGTTCGATATAAGTTTTAATCCATTCCCACGTGAAAACAGATGATTATTTGGAAATCAGAATTCGGAGAAATTCATAAGTGTAATCGACAGAGAGTGGATGACTGTTAAGAACTGGCAGAAAAGGTTCCCGATTGTATAGCTTTACATGAACAAATTATGTTGTCGATTTTACAAGATTTTTCCTTAAAGTTTAAAATGCCAGTAATTTTTGTGGGACAATGTGCATATTTATGTTCATTTGATATTTTACTTCTGATTAAATGAAATAAAATTATAATTGTATTAATAAATCTAATTTTCTTTATTTTAATCTTTAAAGTCGCACTTTGTCCTATATGCAAGATCGTCTTATATGCGAGTAAATATGGTAATTTCTTGTTGGATAAAATAATTGTGAGCTAATTAAAATGATGCCCTTTTTTGGCACATTATTTTAAAATAAAAACTCACCAAAAACTTACCAAATTCCTAGTGTGAAATTGAAATTTTGCACATGAAAATTATTTTCACCCATAAAAGAATGATTTTGTAAATGTCAATTTTCTATCACATGCTATAAAAACCAATGGATAATTAAGAGTTTAGTTTATTTAAACAAGTTTTATATTATCATGGAAAAAATATGATACAGGAAGTTGAAAACAGTTTGTTTTTAAAATACTGATTTAAAATATTAAACAGTTGAAGTATATCTAATTTTATAGATTAAATACTTAATAATTTTAATTGTAATTTAATGTATTAATAATAATAATTTAAAAATAATTCGAAGACTGACATTTTTGGATCGGTGTGGAGTATATAATTATATCATCATTTCAGTGTTAAATATCTAAGAAATTGCAAGAATTTAACTAAAAGGAGTTTTACATTTAATTTGAAAGAATTATTTGAGTGATCATTTGATTATTCAAATATTAATTATGGGTTCATTTGATTGATTTTTGTATTCCTTCACTAAAGAAAGTATTATTAATATTTCATTCAGAATTCTCTAAAAATTGATTTTATGATAGAAATTAAATTAGATAAGTTTAAAGCATATAATTATCTGATTTTATGATGATCTATTAGATCTTTTCTTGAAAAAATAGTTTAAATCAAGCCAAAATATATTTAATTTAGTATATTTTCAATGCATTACATTCTCATCAGACACATTAAGATGATACTGCATAACCATACAATATTTATATTACACAAAATTATGTATTTATATCTAATTTTTGATGTTGATAAAATATAATGTAAACATTTGTACAGAATTAAATTTATACTTAAATTAGGAGTTATTATTTTGAACAAATCAACTATTGATTTTTGACACACAGTTAAATTTGATTTTATGATATGAAGTGCTACTAATTTAATTATAGTTTATTCATACATAAAAATATGTTTTTTATAAAATATTTAAATTTTATACTTGCTAAAATACAGTATTTGTTTGTTTAAATATTTAAACAAAAACAAATAAAATGAATAATTTAAAATGATGGAATTGAATTAGTAATTTTAATACAAATATATTAAAATTCTTATTTGAATATAACCTAGTAAAGGATGTGAGAATATAAACAATGGATAAGTACTTGAATTTTGATTAAAATCACAAATTAGATTGTTGACCTCAACTGTAATCATCATTTATCTACCTGCTATGCTATATGGAAATTACCAAACTTCAAAACAATATGTAAATTGTACGTTTAGTTTGACCTGTATGCATATTATGAGGTCACTGGCTTCAATAAATAGTAGCAGTTACATTTAGTTAATAGTATCAGCCTATATTACTGTCATGATAGTGAATTAGAGAAAACTATTTGGCAAGGATTTTCAGTTATTTACAATGAATTCTTTTAATCAGATGAAAATGTTTATATGTCTTTATACCCATTAAAAATAATAATAAAATTGTTAGAAAATACACAGCAAAATTTATTTATAAAATACAGTACTTATTAATAAGAATTGGAATTCATATTGGAAATAACAAAATTTAAGAAATTTTTGTTTGATTGGTAGATTCAGCAGTGAACAAGTTACACAATCTTATGAGCAAGGATATGAAAGTATTTCTGAGAGTGAAGATGAAGAAGAAGAATCAGATGCCATTAGTACAATTGGAGAAGCCAGTGAATTTGATGAAAGTAGTATGCAAGATGTTGATGCAAGAAGTGATTCAGGCTGCATGTTAGCTTTAGAGGTAATTACTTTGTTTATATTAAGAGAATTTTTTGTCATATTGTAAAATACACATTAAAAAAAATATATATTATATGTTAATATTTTGACATTAATATCTTTTTAGTATGAAACAAAAAAGAATAAAATTGATAAAGTTCAACAAACTCTACATAAAATAGCAACAGAAATTCTAACAACAGAAAGAACCTATGTTAATATTCTCCATCTTCTTGATCAAGTATTTGCCTTCAGAGTAGATCAAGAAAACAGAGCTCATCCAATGTTTTCCCAGGAAATAGTTTCACAGATGTTTTCAAATTTAAAATCAATATATAAATTACATCATGATTTTTTATTACCACAATTAGAAGAAAGGATGCAAAAATGGTAAGACTGTAATATTTTTATATACAGTAGTTGAATAAGAAATAAATAAATTACTTATTTAGGGAAACAGAACAACGGATAGGAGATGTAATGAAAAATTTTGCACCATTTTTGAAAATGTATACAGAATATGTAAAAAATTATGACAATGCTATGAACTTAATTAACATATGGTACCATAAACAACCGTTATTTGCTCAAATTATGGATGATATTCATGCAAGTATTTTTTTGTATTCTAATATTTAATCTCATCTTTTGATTATATAATACTACAACTCTTTTAAAATTATAATTTTATTCAATTACAGACAATGGAAGAATGTGGAAATCTCACATTACATCACCACATGTTGACTCCGGTTCAGAGAGTTCCTCGATATCAACTTTTGCTCAAAGGTTATTATTATTGCTTTTTCTAAATGTAATTTGAACATGTAACTTTTTTGTTCGTATTAAGACTCCGTAATTTTCATTTTTAAATTATATGAAACAAAAGTTATTTTATTAATTTTTAGTATTACATAAAATTAGGATTATTAATCTAAAAAAACTTTTTAAAACTATTTTTAATTTCTAGATTACTTAAAAAAACTACCAGAAGATTCTATAGACAGGCCAGATACAGAAAGTAAGTTTACGAATAAATTTTAATGAAGATATATTATAATCTAATTCTTATTTTTAAAAAATTTAAATTGTTTAGAGGCTTTAGAACTTGTTTCTACAGCAGCAAACCATGCAAACGAAGCTATGAAAAAAATTGTATGTATATTTTGAATGAATTGAACAATGACTTATAAAAATATCTAACTTTAGTAACTTTCTTCTTCAGGATAAATTTAAAAAACTTCTAGAAATTCAAGATATGATTGGTGGCGTTATAGATTTGGTGAGTCCCAGTCGGGAATTATTGAAAGAAGGAAAAATTATAAAGATTTCTGCTCGAAGTGGAGATCATCAAGAAAGACATCTGTTTTTGGTATAATATCTAACAAATTTGAATTAAAATTCTGCTGAAATATTCTCAATAAGTTATCTCTAATTGTATTTCAGTTCAATGACATGTTGTTATTATGCAGTCAGAGGCTGATTGCAAATAGAGTTGTTTCAGGACCACTTTTTCGCATCAGAGCAAGACTGGATGTGGATGGTCTAACAGTACTTGAAGGAGATAATTTAGAAACTGCAAACACATTTTACATAAGAAATACTGGCCGTTCCATAGAGTTATATACACAGTAAGTCTTAAAATAATTAATAACACTAAAACATATATTCCATCTAACCAGTTTTAAGTAGCAGTATTTTAAAATAACGTTTAAGCTTTGGAATTTAGATATTAATTTGAAACTAGTTATTTAAAAAAAATGATGGGAGTAGAAAGATGTGCTTTGATGTAGTTTTCTATATGAAACTGTATGAAAAAGAGAAATACTGAATTATATTTAATTTATTTGCAAATCATATGTTATATTTGGAGGGATAAGTTACCCTTGTTTGTATTAAAATGCTAAAATTTATTTTTAAAATGTTAACAAAAAGATAATAAACCTATAAGTAATGGCTTTTATGAAAACTAATTTATTCAAAGATCATTTTAATTATTAATCTAAACTTTAAAATACATAAAATTTAGATTATTTCATGTAAATTATTTTTTAAGAAAACTTTTCTTAAATTTATAGTAGTAACTTTCTCCAATTTTTAACTGTTTGATACTCTAACTTATATTACTGTTAAATAATTCTCATGCTATTTATAAATACAGTAATATTCTTGTGTGTGTTCTATTATAAATGAATAGAATTTAATGCATGTAATTTTCTCAATTTATTGCTTTGTCATAATCATAACAGAGCATTTAAAATGAATATGGTTACCTGTATCAATAAAAATTTCTGAAATCCTCACTACTAGACAACCGATCTAAACTAATTTTTCCAAAATTAAGGATTAGCTCTCTTCAATACAGCTCAAATGTGGTTTTTAAACTTATAGGATGTAACAAATGTATTTACTGGAAAGAGAAAATAAATATCATTTTTATAGTATGATAACTCAAAAATCTTTGGGAGTGGAGAATGAAGGAAGCAAGAAAAAGCTAAATGGATAGCAAGGAGAGTAGATTATAGCTTGTAGATAAATGTTAAACCTGTAATCTACTAGTTCTGAGAACTAAATTTTCGCTACAGTTGATCAGTAAATATTCTCTTGCTAAGACATGAAATCTTTTAAAGAATATAATTTACATCAATAACCGAAAAGGTCCTAGTTATATTTAGTGTTATAAGTACTATATTAGAACAAACATTAGTATTAATAATATCTTAAATCTTCATATCAATTATTAAGTATAAAAATTTTATTTAATTGGAATAAAGTGCACATAAAATAGAAATTTATTAAGAACTCACATTGTCATAATTGTTAATATCCAACATTAATGTTGATATTATAAAAAAAATTTTTAATTAGTATAATAACATTGTAAAGATTTGTAATGCTTGCAGCAAGTTTTGAATTCATTAAAAGCATCATAATATAGACAAGACTTCTGTATGAACAAAGAAAAATAGATTTAAACAAAATACTTATGACAAGTGCAGGATTCAGCTTAATTGTACCAATTAAATTTTATAGGCTTTTTTTATTTTGATTAATAAATATGCATAATTTTTATCTGTATATTAAACTCTGTGATAAAAAAAAATATTTCCAATTTATAGAACTCTTGAAGAGAAACAAGAATGGATGCAGGTAACCAAAACTCTTAAAATGTTCAAGATTATTCTTTTTAGAACAATATAAAGTAATATTTTAAAATCTAATTAGCTATTAGCAAAAGCAGTAAATGATTTAGCAACTAAGAAAAGTTCTTTGCGAGTTGGAAAATACGATTTAAGGGTTAGTATGAAAACCATTGTTCATACCATATTATGAAAAGATATAAATCCATTTAAAGTATTAAACTGCTACAACTAAAAATTTTGTAGTCTCCAGATAGTCTAGAACTTGGAAAACGGGCTCCAACATATGCTAAATCTGATGGCATTGGTCATTGTATGTGTTGTGGCACTGCCTTTAGCACTTTTGCATTCAAAAGAAAGCATCACTGCCGAGCCTGTGGCATTGTAAGTATCCAGTTTGTCTATCTATTAACATTTGAATGCTGCTTGCAAAATCTTAAAAAAAATTTATTTATAGCTTGCTTGTATGAAGTGTCTTCCTCAGAAGGTTCCATTGTCATATGACGATAACAAGCAGGGACGAGTTTGTGGTCAGTGTCATGAGATTATCTCAAAACAATTGGATGAAAAGCTTGATCTCCAAGAAGAAGTAGAAAATCACATCCATCAGAAAGGAGTCTTAGAAGTAACTATAATAACTATATGCTTGGTACAGCTTGATATAATTGCTCAAATGTGTAAGTTTTCAAAAAATTTTTAGGTTCATCCTTCTGATCCATCAGTAATCAGTGGCTATTTGCAACTAAAAGCACGCAGTCGAACATGGATTCCACGATGGTTTTCTTTACATGATGATTTTGTATTATATTCTTTTCGGTCTCATGAAGTTAGTTTTATATACTAAATTGTAAAATGTGTATTAGGTCCTATATTTTTAATTTAATTAAAAATCATTTCAGGATGATCGTGCTTTAACATCCATGCCAGTTCCCGGTTATACAGTCTCTCTACCTGAAAAGGGTGACAATGTGGATGGTCGAGAGAATGTTTTTAAATTATTCCATAAGAAAAAAGTTTATTATTTTCAAGCAGCTAACAATATCCAACTACAAAAGTAAGTATAAAATTACTTAAGATTTCTTGATAAAATTTTTAATTCTTTCAAAAATTTTTTCTAGGTGGATTACTGCTTTAGAAAAAGCATCAAGAGCTGAAAATGCAAGCTGACAGCCATAAGCTCTTAATTTTTTTGTTGTACAGTCATATTTTATTTTCAAAAGCAAAAGCTGCCTAGTCAATGATTATTTCATTTGATCAATTTTTAATATGGAAACATTTATCATTGAAATAATCTTGTGTTATATACTTCATTAATGAAGTATATAACACAAGAATAAGAAAATGATAAGAGTAAAAAGACCAAAACACTATTAGCATGTATCCATATTTTAAATTGGTAAGAAATGGTCCTGTTATCAAATGATGACTGTGTCCATTGCTTGTATATGTTTGTATTATATTGAAGTATTTGTACAAAGCCTTTTTAAGGCAATAATTTTTCATTATGTAAAGAAAATGATCAAAACTTAGCATCAGATTATGAATAAGTTGTACGAATAAAAATAAATAACATTCTAGGATTTACAAACTGTTTTATTTATAGTGCACAGTTAAACAAAAAGTGAACATTGGCAGCAATATTTATACAGGTATAAAATTTTTACAATATTTTCAATGAAAAATATATCACAAAAGAACAACATATTCATTGTGATGATTTATAAATTGCCATTGTAATATTTTCTGTATTTTTTATCAGAATTTGCCTGAAATAAAATTCAAAAAATTAACTTTCTCATATAAATAATATATAATTATGCATTCAAAGTTTATATTATGTAGTTTAATTTTAGCAGCAATATTGTTGTTAAAAAAAACTAAACTAATGTTATAATTTTTGTCTAATAAATACAATTCCTAAAAATTTGTTACTCGATTAGAATAATGACTAAAGAATAACTACAAACAAATTAACTAAAATGAAAGTTACCAGCATTAAAACTATTAAAAATAATTTTAATGCACAAATAAGTTGTGCATTTATTTAATCAGCAGTCAAAGGATCAAATTTGTCTGTATTTGAAATTTGTGTTTCTTATTTAAGAGTATCATTCACTTTTATAAAATACTGAATATTAGTTTTATTTCTTAATCAAACACATGGAATCTTACTTTTTGCCATTAAATACTTTCAAGAATACTTCAGAAAAATGTCAATTCAAAAATAATTTCAATTTTACTTAGTGCATTTTTTTATAAGTAAAAGAAATACATAAAATAACATCAAGTACTAGTGAGTCTGAACATTCATATACAGGATGATAAAAATAATGCATTCAATATTTGGAGGAAAGGTTTTTACTCAGTATGATGTGCACTTAGAAATGATTGAGTTTTCAATCTATGTACATACTATAATATATGGTGGATGAGTTTTTATTACTCAGTATAAATACTGAATGCCTTAACATCCTGTATATAAAATTTAATCAAGTCAACACATCAAACTAAATGACAGTAGATGATGAAGTGTCATTCTTTAGCATTTAATGAAATTGTTTAACTAATATAATTACTTAATTTTTGCTTTGCAAACAAGATATCTTTTAAATTTATTATTTTTGCTTTAAGCAATAAAAATGAAAACAATGTAAGAAGTATTATAATATTAATTTAGAGTTTATTTCATTAAATTTACTTTTTTATTTTTAGAGTGGAAATCAGATTCTCTACCTTCAGAATAACAATATGTTTTCTTCAAGGAATTGAAGTGCTCTTATTTTAATTTAAATTTTATATATTTGTTTAATAGAATAGATGCATAATTGAAGTCTTGTATATTGTCTGTACTATATTTAATTTTTTAAGATTGACACTAATGAAACATCCTTTATGAAAATTTTATTGTAATCAATCAAAAACAATTATTAATTATTTCAGTTAATCTATTTCAGCAATATTCATAAAATACTATATTCTGCAGAAAATTTGTCAGGATTCTACAAGTATATTTATGATAATGTTTTGTTTGAAAAAATTTAATTTTTAATTTATTGATTTTAGAAAGTCAATATTTAATTTTTGCACTTCATTTTCATAAATCTCATATTAAAATTGATAACAGAATGTTTCACTAGATTTAATTAAGTTTGATGACCAATAATCTTTCTTCACATTAAATTTCTGTACCTTTGTCACTATCTTTTCTTAAATTATTATTACAGTGCACTAATTATTTTTCCATTAATAATATTTTTTATGCCAACACTTTTCTTGAAACTTTTATTCTTATATATTTAAAACAAAACTGACTAAAACATAGTAAAAATAATCTTCATAATTGACTAATTTAATTAATATTTTCAGTTTCTTACAAACTTGAAAATATTCAATTTATTACTAAATTTTCAAAACTCTTATAAGATTATTTTTGAAAGTTTTAATATTAAAAATTCATAATTTCTGTTGATTGATTAAAAGAATTAATTCAATAGAACTATTAAAAATTACTAAATAAAATATTTTTCAATTAATATACTAATAAATTATAATTAAAAACTCTCTTAACTAGATAAGTATATCATTTTGTAAAAAATAAAATTAAAAAATCAAATGTGTACCATTGATTAAAAAACAATATCTTACGTCTTTTTTCCATCTAACTGAATTACAGGTGGTTTATTATTAGGTTCTAATGAACTTGCTAATTTTGTTAAAAAGGTGAAAACACCAGCAGATTTTGGTGCTGCTATTCCTTTATCTATGAAAAAATGAAGCATAAATTAAGTTAATTAATTCAAACACACTTTTTCATTAATTCAATTTTATCTTTTTATTACACATTATAATTTTATGACTTTTTAAGAGAAATTTTTTCTATTTATTAATAAGACAATTTCACACTTTACTAGCTTTGANAAAAAAAATAAGTATGAGTGTTTTCTCAGAAAATACTGTACTGTACTTGTATGTATTGTTTACTTGAGAATACAACAGAGAATAAACTGCCCAAATACCCTTAAACAAAGGAAAAGTACATCCTTTATGAAGACATAGAGCCTTTACTACATGAAAATGAAAATTAATGAATACACTGTGTACAGTAATTTACCTGATAAGACAGACCTCAGAAAAATACTTTATGAGGCATAAAGCTGTCTATAATGAAAATGAATTAACTAAGAATTTTTTTGCCCTGTCAGGGTGTGGCTGAATTATCCGGACTGCCAGGTTATCGAGTGCCGAGTTTTCGAGACTCTACTGTACATGCATTTAAAAAGTTGATGTGCTTATTCTCTTTTGTTGTTGTAATTTGGATATATTTTCTTTACCAACTATCAAAGATAAAAGAATATAAATTTTAAAGAATCAGTTGATTGACGAAGTTAATAATTCTCTATTATATATTTTAGTAAAGCAAACAAAATACTGCAAACTGAGCTGGTAGTGACAAGAAAAATTTTAAACAATGGTAATATCAAATAAATTTCATTAACAGGACTTTTCTATATCTTGAATATTTATTGGTTTCATAACCCTTTGGAGTTTTTTCAACAATCTTTATTTTAAACAAAGTTTTCAACCATCATATGTTTTTAACTAGGACATCTGTAACTTTGTTTTATCACAATAGAATTGAGGCAGAGCCAGAGAGTTGATCCTAGAACCTAAACTTTGCAGATGTGATCCTTGCACTTGCCTCTACAGAGGAGAAAATCCAAGAATAAAACAATTGATGTTGATTGCTTTGTTCTTGTGTTTTCTTCATTTTTCATGCTCATTTTCCATTAGGTGCAAAAAAAAAGAAAACATTGCAATGTTTTCTTTTTTTTTGCCTCTAAATTCCATTAGGCTTGCTGAATCATGTCAGGGAGCATGGACATTGTTTTTGAGATTTAGTAGGGTCAAAGTGATAAAGTCATAGACCCCCATTTTTATTGCATTTTTGGATTCCTCATTGCAATTAATGAAAAATGGCAAAGCTTTATCAAAATCAGCTCATTAAATTTTTGGGAATGATTTGAATGCTATAAGCCACAAAGAACACATGCTAACAATTTTAGGATATTGTGCAATGTTGCAATGTCATGAGCACTTGTTCTATGACCTTGTACCTCAAAAATGAACTCATTTTTTAATTATATTTTTGATTCCTCTTCACAATTAATGGAAAATGGTAAAGTTTAATCAAAATTGATCAAATTTTAAGAACAAAAGATTCTGTAAATCATATAGAAAAGGCTTTGCTAATGCTCTGCCTTAATTAAACATTTAACACAAAGTTCAAACTATAAAACACAATATTTTTCTCTTTAAATTATTCCCATAATATATGAGCTTTAGTTAAAAGTTATTTACTTTAGCAAACCATTATTAAATCTTTTAGAAATTCCTGATTTTTCCAAATTTTTCTAGATTTCTAGGCTTTCCAAATGCCACAGTTTCATAAAACACCAGAATAAGAATAAATTATTTTGGCTTTTTAACATTTCATTCAAAACTGTCAGCATAAATAAGAAATATCAGGTCAATCAAAAATTTATTGCTGAAAAACATAAGTGTTTGCAAAAATGCCTGTAGACAACATTAAGATGATAATTTTGAAAAATTTTCAGATGGTAGTTCAAAACAAACTTTCAAAAGACATGCTATGAAACTGTGAATAGAACAGAAACTTAGTACACAGTTTGTGTTCTAAGTCTGTATAAATTTCAAAAAGTTTGAAAAATGTCAAAAAAAGTCAACAGTGAAGATCATCTGTGAAACAGACCGTCAAAAATATGCAAAAGTTTATGGTGGTGGTGGACTGTCTGAGCACACTGTCAGATCTGGAGACTACAACATCAAAGACAAGATGTGATGTGCTCTAGATAATCACAAAGATCAAACAATCATCTGGTAAACTGATTACCAAGAAAGCATAGATCTTGCAGCAGGAATTAGCTTCTGAACTGAGCTTTGTCTGAAACTCTGAAGCAGCTAGCTGGGAATCAAATTCACAAGCAGTAGCTTGTGAATTTGATTCCCACTTTCTATTGGATGCAGTACATCTTGACCAAGCAGAATAAGAATGACTACATTCCCAAATGCTCATCACTGCTGAATTGGTACCATAGCTTCTTTGATTGCCTTAAGACCTGCTACAAAAAGTAGATTTATTATAACTAAGTATCCAAGGTACCTATGTGATGTCCAAAATGTACAACTTCCTAACAAGTCTTTAGAGATTTTAGAGAGGGAAAAAAAGGTGCTGTTTTGCATGTTCCAGGATTTTCAAGGTATCATTCATCATCACTTTATGTTATTTATTCATATTGGTCAATCAGAAAGAAGTTTTGTTTTATCAAGATAATGGCAAACATAATAATAATAAGAAAATCTACCACCTACAGTACTGGGCTGAATGGTTATCATCCACCATATTTTCTGACCTTTCTCAATCAGATTTTTACTTATTTTTTGCAAAATCATCTTGATGGTCAAATGCTGCCTGGACTGAAGCAGCTTAAAAAAAAAAGTGATGGGCAACACTTCACTTTCAGTCATCTTTCTTCAAGCCAAGCATTCAAAAGCTTGGGTAAAAAATTAATCAGGATAGTATTTGCTAGCAATGGCAAATACTATTCTGATTAATTTTTTGTAATAAGTTTGATTAAAATCACCTTTTCTACACCATAATTTTTAGCAACAACTTTTCTGATATTAAACAGTATAGGTAACCCCTGTGTAACACAGGAGTTATGTTCCAAAAAATTGCCGTTATGCGAATCTGTGTTATACGAAACAAAGAACTACTATAAAAAGGGGGATTAGATTCCAAAAATTAAAAAACATGCTATTATATTTTCATAATTAAGATAAATATCTTTATTAAAATTTTCTTAAGTGATACATCTATACTAATATTATAAAGAGGTAATGTTTGTAAGTAAGTTTGTATGCAGCAGGTATTCTCCGAAACTACTCATCCGATTTCAAAAATTCTTTCACCAATATTTAGAATGGAACTTCAGGGTGGACATAGGCTGTATATTATTCCGTTAAACATTCATATAAATTAAAAGATATCATCTAGGTTAAGGCTTTTATGTCCAACAGATAGTGCTACGAGTATGACGCACTAAGTTTGCTTTTCTGTGAAAATGAACTAAAGCAGATCATCATCTATCCATTTATATAACTAAAAATGTAATGTTCGTTTGTTCCTACTGATTCCTTTGAAATTTTGACACAACGCTGCATTCGAATACGCACGTGTTTTTATATAATATACATGTCGAAATTCAACCCCACTGAAGGGAGATGGTTAGGATTAAGGCTTGCAGTATAGAACTCTGCTTCTATTTATACTATTTTAGATGCGAGTTTTTGTGTTTTTGATTGCGTTTTAATAGGGTACATCAACAAAATGTACACTAAGAAGAAATTTTTCGAAAAATTCCCCCTCATGGGGGAAGTGTTATAAATTTATAATAGATACATTTTGAGCCACAACAACGCGTGGCGGGGTCTGCTAGTATTAATATAAATTAAACAATGTTTTCTTTGTCATCACTAAGCACTATTAACTGAGGGCATTTTCTTTTTGGTAAGATATCCTTATCCTCTGAACATTTTTCTGCATTCAGATCCATGCTCTACCTTTTGCAAAAAATATGCTATTTTAGATTGCTTGCTTTTAGTTAAAATATCTTTATAAATTTCCTTATATGGTGCTAAGCACTTATGAAGAATAAAGCAAGTATGGAATAAGGGTAAAACATCTGGCAACACTGAAACAAGTTTCGAGAAGGACCATGTGTATCGACAGAAGACAGGGAAAAGAAAATTTACATACTTAAGTACTAACAGTATTTAGTACTTAAGTATGTGTAACAATTAGTACTTAAGTATGTGAACATTTATTACATTTCATGTTGTATGAGGATTTTATCCAATTCTCAAACCGTGTTAGAGTGAATCTGTGCTATAGAAGTGCTGTGTTATATGGGGTTTACCTGTATATGGATATTTTTATATCATCAACTAAATTATATTTGCAAATATCATTATAAAGTATCCAAATAATCAAAATCACAATAGTAGTTTCTGTAAATATGGTTATTGTTTTATTAATGATGATAAATATGGCATTCTACTTATTATATGTTTAATTCCTTCAATTCCCTAGTAATGAACTCATGGCGAACTTGTAACTAGAATTGTTTCATAAGAAAGTGCTTATGCCAAAATTATTATTGGCTGCTTAGAGAAACTTTCTTCGGAAAAGAATTCTTATTGATGTGTTGATCATTATATAATCATTCTAATAATTTCTACAAAAAGTGTAGAAACACTAACTTTGAACTTCTTATTTTTGAACCAACCATCTCAACACTTGCAGAAGCAGCTTTGCATCTTTTACATTCTATTTTTTCAGACTTCTGTAAATCAAAATTTTCCCATTGCTTTAATGTTCTCTTTAGCATAAATCTTACTTTTTCTAAATTACTCTGCTATTTCTATCTGCTGAAATTTCAACTGTGATTAGGACTTTTTGCAATAACATATATTGCATCTGATTCCATTACTGTAACAACCTGGTTATTGCTCTTATGTATTGTATAATAATGGCTCTCAAAATTATCAATTTGCAGACCACTTGAACTGAATCACAGATTAACTAAGGACTGCTTAGATCCCTTGTCAACTATTTATCCTGTAAATATCATCTTTGATAATGCTAGATTGTTTGTCAAAATATTTTGTCTATTCAAGATTTAATGTGAGAGATATGTTATGTGTGAAAATGTTCTCTCTCTAGCTAGCTAGCTAAGCAGCCTAGAATTGCATTTTTGGAAAAATAACTATTTCAGTCTGCAGAACATCTGGTACATGCTCACAGATCATACTTTGAGAATTACTGTTTTGAAAGATAATCATTGTTAGTATCTTCTATCAAAAATCTACCGTATTTTGACGAGTATAAGTCGCTGCCAAGTATAAGACGCACCCCTATTTTGAGACAAAAAATTTAGAAAAAATCTTTTTTAATGGAATTGTCTAAAGATGCATTTTATTCGTTTTTTTTTATTCAAGAATATGACGGATGGGTGAATCGATGCCTTTATTAAACTGAAATAATCGTCATTTCTTAATGTAAACCAGAGGTCACGTGATGACAGTCGACAGCATATGATGGCGATGACTCGTGTGTTGCTACTCTAATAATCTAGGTACTCTAGCCATTCGGTTGAGGGACCATCTGCTTAATGGACCCTTGCACAGGTTGGTCCCTAGAGTGGACCACTACTGTAGATAATTTCACTGTAAAAATGGTTACCTGTCGAGTATAAGACGCACCATGATTTTGAGCCCCAAAAAGTAGTAAAAAAGTGCAACTTATACTCGTCAAAATACGGTATATATATCACTGTTCTCCTCAAAAGGTTCTTTAGCCTTATTTATTTTTTTAGAGTTGAACTGAAGATGATCAAATTATGTTTAAAAATAATTATGACACAATATTTAAATCTGCTTTCTTAACTTGCCCAGGCTTTTGGAATGATTGAAATGGATGGAAAACCCATTATTTTATTATTATTACAAAACTTCTGTTTTACTTTTTTGTGCAATTCCTTAATCAAACTCAAGTATCTTTGTTCTGAGTCCATAAAATACTGCCAGATATCATACTAGATACAACTCCTTAGTAAGGCTTCTCCAATTGTAAAAGAGTTTCTTAGTTCTGTTTATTAGTGATTTAAAAACTGTCCATCTGTCCTCAAGACTTACTTTTCATATAAATTGGTTGCTTGGACCATTGTGCCATCGACCTTGCAGAGTTATACAGATCTATAAAAAATCATGTTTAATTGTCATACAGTTGCTTTGAACTTTGATTGAAGACAAAACACTTTTGGACTTGTGAAGAGTTCTGCTCAACAACATTCAATACAAAATACAAAATACTTTTGTACTATTTATGTTATATTGTTCTAAAGATAATCAAATTTGATACATGTTAATTTTCACATATTGTTTTATTTTATGTAAAAATAAGAAGAAATATGTTTTGTTGTGCTTTTGTTTATTTTATGCTTAAATTTTTATTTTGTATACATCAGTTTAAAATAAAATTTGTTATAATGAAACAATTTTAAATTTAATTTAAAAATATACTTACATGCCATACATAAGCCTTGGTTATCTGCACACAAGATACCATTTACATTTGGCATGGCACATCTACATCAAAAAATTAAGTATATAAATACTTGATATATACAATATTTTTTCTGAAGTATAAAATATTAAATCCTAATACAATAATTAACATTTTAAAAAAAGTATTTAACATAATTATCTTAAATAGAGTTTATAGTTAATTTTATGAAATAATGGACAAAAGTGAAGCGTGAGCCTGAAGAGGGATTGGAAAATAATTACCAATCTGAAATGCATAATAGGTGAATAAAGTGAATTGTTTTAATCATTGTCTCTGTTTATTGCAGATAAAAAAGACGTGATAAAGATCAGTAGTCTCACTTTTGGGAGAAGAAATCTTTACTTAGTTATATCTGGGCCATTTTAATAATTTTATTAAACAATTTACAAAATAAAATCACTTCAAAAGTATTTTCAGACTCTCAAATCCATTAACAAAAGATAAGTTTACAAAACTAAAAAATTTTTACATAAAAATAAAAAACAACTGACTAATGAATTAAACATTCTGGAATGACTTGTTTGTTTTCCTCTACTTTCCTTTCTTTTAATATTTCTATCTGCTCATGAAAGTAATTCATATGATGAGAACTTTTATTTAGCTCAAATGAACATCATTTCCAATGATGTGAGTAGACAATTCTTAGAAAATAGACTAAGTATTTCATATATTTTTCTAAATAAATTTGTTTCCAACAATCTTGAAACAACTCCATTCTCAACAGAAAATATACAGGTATACCTCGCCTTACGTCGGTAATTGGTTCCAGGAGAACGACGTAAGTCGAATTTACTTGTCTCCGAATCTACTTATCACTAGGCTAAACCGTAAATTACCATTCCCGGTTCTGTATTTTATTTATTAATGCATTTTTAATAATATATGGTTAATAAAAATCTATTTTAAGCTTACAAACAAATAAATTTTAATTTTTAATATAGTACAGAAAAAAATTAATCTAAATTTACGAATACATGTACTGTAAATACAGTACATACTTGTAAATGGTATATATTTTAATATGATTTTATTTGCTTTAAACGCTTTTCTAGTGATATTACGACTTTAATATTTGTAGCAAACAGACGTAAAGTCGAATAAAATGACTTAAACTTGATTTTTATTTTTCCATCTACTTTTTTAACAAGCGACGTATAATCGGGAACAACGTAACTCGAGACAACGTAAGTCGAGGTATGCCTGTAGTTACTACACATCTTGTATACAAATACAATATATCAAAAATTCCATACTAACTTTACTGGTTTTACAGTAGAGCCTCGAAAACTCGGCCTAATGTGGACCGAAGGGTGGCCGAGTTTGTGAAAATGCCGAGTTATCGGGAATGGGGTTAAAAAAGGATAAGTATGAGTGAAACACTCATACTTATCCTTTTTTCAGTACAGTACAATATTTTCTGAGGAAAATATTGTACTGTACTTGTATGTATTGTTTGCTTGAGAATACAACGGAGAGTAAACTGCTCAAATACCCTTAAACAAAGGAAAAGTATGTCCTTTATGAAGGCATAGAGCCTTTACTACATGAAAATGAAAATTAATGAATACACTGTGTACAGTAATTTACCTGATAAGACAGACCCCAGAAAAATACTTTATGAGGCATAAAGCTGTCTATGATGAAAATTAATTATCCAGGGGTATTTTTGCCCTGCCAAGGTGTGGCCGAGTTATCGAGTGCCGAGTTTTCGAGGCTCTACTAACATAAACAAAAAGAAAAAATTGAAGATAAGAATGAAGAAAATGTTTATTTTAGAATACCAAAAAATTTTTTTATTAGAAATGTTTTCATCCTTAAATCAGAACAGCTTCAGTTAACTTTTCAGTAAGAATGTTATGAAGATTTATAACAGTGGCTTAAATTCATCTATTGATAAATTTGATCTTTGAATTAATTTAAAATCTGAAAATAAATTATAATTTTTAAATCAAGAATAAAATTATAATCAGTATCAATCAAGATTTGTTTTTTTCTTTATGATTTCTCAAATTAAACAAATTTGATGACAATACCAATTACAGATTTTATAGGCTCTTGTTATTAGAGATGGGCGAATACTATCCATGAATACTCAAATATTAGAAAGTATTCAAGATTTGAGATTGTGACTATTACATCAATAAAAAAATAAATTTGAATACTTTGAATACCTCCAATATCACATCAAAACTTATTGTGATAAGTACTATCACATTGGTAGATCCAGAAGTACCCAAAGAGTGGCTAACTCAAAAATTAAAAATATTTGAATAATTAAGTATTTTTTATTGATATAATAGAACATAAGTACTTTTTATTAATACATGCATAACAATTGTATTGAGAATGGTCCAATAAATCATATTTGTCATAATACCTATAGTAGATGAGNAAACTTTGGCCAGTGGCTAACTTGGTGCAGCATGAAGTTGGTATCAAATGGCAAAGTTAAACATCATTCCACTTTGAAGATTCTCAGGACTAGAAGCAGAACATGACAACTCATCACCAAGAATTACTTTGAAAATAATACACTGATTACCTCCAAACAGCAATATCACAAACACCCAAAAGACCAGTTAAAAACATTAATTTTTTTTGATATAATAGAACATAAGTACTTTTTATTAATACATGCATAACAATTGTATTGAGAATGGTCCAATAAATCATATTTGTCATAATACCTATAGTAGATGAGAATGAGAACAATTATTTATTAACCTATTATAAGTTGAGATAAGAATATCTAAAAAAGCTATTTTAAAAGTCAAAGTCAAAATTAAAAGTTGAAAGTTTCATTTTGTGAATTTTATTAAATTGTTTTTCTTTATTAATTTATTAATAAATTGAAATAAATAAAAACAAATTAAATAATACGTTATTAAATAAATAAGTTAAGTCCACTTAACAGATCCCCTTGGGATCATTGCATTATGCTTCTTTATCTGAAGTAACAAGATCAGTCAGGGGTTCATTTCTCTCTACTTTTACTTGTCTTAGGAGTTCTATAAAACTTATAACACACTTCAAAACATTAAAATTCATTAACATATATTTGTACTCTACTTACATAGTTTTCCATTCTTATAACATCAATTTTATTGTTCTATTAAATGATGATCTAATAATGTATATTACATCTATAGTAAACATTGGAAGACTTTGATTACAGATTTTAATAGTTAAACATAAAAAAAAAACATGAAAATAAGACATTTCTCACTAAACATATTATATACTTACAACAAAACCAAACTATTGCCAGATTTAAATCAGGCTATTTTATTACTACTATTAATAATTAAATAATTTAAATCTGGCAATCATTTGGTTTCATTATAAAATATCAAGCTTTGAGATATTTATACAGGGTGTATCAGAATGACATTTTAAAAATTTGGGAGATTGTAGAGGATGAAATTTTGAACGTTTTGATATAAAAGGAAATGTGATATAAAGTTTCTACAGCGGTAGGAAGTGCTTGACTGCCCTTCACTTTGGTAGCTACCCTTCCATCCATTGACGTCATGTTATTGTTCTTGACTTCTTCCTATAAGGTTATGTAAAGTCCCTTGTGTATGCAACACCTGTAGGAACAGTTCATGAGCTTACGGAGCACATCTTTACAGCATTTAATACCATCAGAGGGGAGCGTGGCATCTTACAGAGAGTCGGACAAAACATGATTTGTCGTTGCACATTATGTAATGAAGTTGGTGGTCGTCACATTGAGCATTTACTCTAAAGTAGTGCAGCCACTGATTCGATGTACAGTTTGATTGTACTCTACTGTTTTGTCAATAAAACTTGTCATAAATACTGTATTCTGCTGTTTCATTCAGCATACCGACTGCAGTGTGCTGTAGAAACTTTATATCACATTTCCGGCTACGGGTTCCTTACATCAAAACGTTCAAAATTTCATCCTCTACAATCCCCCAAATTTTTAAATCATCATTCTGATACACCCTGTATATGTATACTTACAACATTGAAAATCTTCTCGTAGAGAAAAATTAACAAAATGTTAATAACTGTTTTCATAAAATGGACAAATATATTTAATGAGAAACTTAACACCTTTCATGGTAAGTTGTTTTTTAATATATTATACATGTATCCTTCATATAACACAATAGTTATATTCCAAAATAGTGCTGTATTATATGAATCCATATTATACAAAACAAAGAAATAGTGTAAAACATAGGGTTAGGTTTCTAGCATTAACAAAAGTACACTATTCTTTTTTGTTATTAAGAGAAAAATGCTTATTAAAACAATCAATAATTAACTAATAATCACAATTAAAACTACTATATTAAGCATTAATATTAATTTTAGTTAAACCAGGATGTTATCTTTTTACAAAGTATTGTCATCATCTGAACTTTGTTTGGATCTTGATTAGAAATGTCAGAAACATCATTTTTTACATTTTTTTTATCATAAAAAATTTATTTTATCATCCATAAAAATTATGTTATTAATCAAAAATTTTTCTAGCAAGTTGCGTATGTTCAGTTGAGTACCAAGATAATGCTGTATTTCTTTTGTCATTGTTATGAATGATTACTTACCTGCGGTTTTAAAAAATGTGTAATAATAACACTTATCTAAAAATGTATAAATAAACTTTACTAAATATGAAGATTAATCTATAAAATAAAATGCAGTGACAGTCTTAAATTCTAAAATCTGAAAGCAATGATACTTGGTTGATAGGAAAGATAGGACAAAAAAAAAAAATATTGTAATATATCAGTTTCCATTAAAGTAAACCTAATGAAAGGCACACAACAAATGAAAATTTCAATATTCTGAAGTCTATGGGCAAATTTGAGACAACTTGCATGCTTACTCAAATAAAAAATATATCAAATAACAGAGTTTGCAATTAAAAATTGTGAAATTTTATACAGAGGATTTCCCAAATTCTCAAACTGTGTTAGAGAAAAACATGTATGTTGGATACCTGTATTTATTTTTAATGTTTGTTAGGATCATCATCTAACCT